GTGTGGGTCAGATACCTTCTGTCCCCATTCTGTACATATTAAGTGGATGACTGCATCTTTAGGGAATTTTAGCAGTCATGAGATGTGTGTGGTGTATTTCATCCTACTCTGCTGAATTACTACAGTGCAGACAGAGAAGACAACAGTAAAATTAAGGCATGATTATAGGATTTCTTTAAGTGCAGTACAGTCTAGCCAGAAGCCTTGCAAATAGAAGAGATTAAGGTTTTATACAAACTATTTTCAGTTGCAGAAAGACAAAAAAAATAGTAATCTTGTTTTCTGTCTGTGTAACTTGGGTGTATTGGAAAACATGGGAGAAAGTATCTTAAGTAAACAAAGTCAGTGAAAACATTTATGATTTATAGCTTTTACTGCCTTCAGTGAAAATGTCTGTAAGACAGTATGGTAACTTATTAATATTCATGTGCAAATAAAAGCTGCCCTCTGTAAGGCTGATAATCTGTTAGTAAGCTTTGTGACATTTCCTTTTCATAGCTGAGCTTTAATTTTCCACCCTTCAGCCATGAAGTGCTGACTGTTTGTACCTCCAGTGTTTGCATGCAGAGGGTCTCAGCTCAATCACCCTGAAGCCATCAAGCACAGTCTCAGCAGGAGCTGCAGGCCCATGCCAGGCACTTAGCCAAGCACTAGGAAAGTGCTTTCTTTTATGTGAGGTGACTCTCCTTCTGGTCTAGTAGTTCCCCACCTTACTACTTACCTTGTGCTTGAAATGAAACTGAGCTCTTACAGACATTAATCTCCTTCATTAATCAGTGTAATCCTGCTGTGGATCACTAGAACTGATTCCAGTGGTCCTGGAGGAAACAGGCAGTCCCAGGCTATCAAAGTGCATGCACAGCAGAGCTATTCACAGTGCATCTCTAGTTTTATTCATTTGCCTAGTTTACCTAAACTATCTCTAGTTTATTTGGATGCTGTTAAACTTACTGTTAATCAAATCAGGTTTTATTTGTATCATTGTCCATCTTGAGAGTGTCTGAGTGTACTTTGGTTGTCCTTTCAAGTTGCTTGTTAAAAAGTACAGAATTTGTATTCCAATACTAAGGATTTTGTTTTCTTTTAGGATCGAAATAGAATGTATGACAGTCTGAATATGCACTCTTTGGAAAACTCCCTTATTGACATTATGAGAGCAGAGCATGATCCACTTAAAGGTATGTTCTTATGCTAAATAAAGAAAAAAAGGGTCATCCATTCTGCATATTTGAATTAATCCTGATTGCTAATTTAGATTCTAGGTTCATATTAAAATAGCGGATTAATTATTTTCTCATTCACATGAAAGGTCAATCTCAAGCTGTATTTTATGGAAAACATTGGTTTGCAGATGTTTAACAAGCTTTAGTGTTTTCATAGATTTTTCTCCTTTCTCCCTCCATGCTTCCCTCCTTTCCCCCAAGAAATTCTCAGTAACTTTTGTTTGAAATTTGCTCGATTGCTGTAGAAGGTTCTGCCTCAGTCTGTGAAGACACAGTTCTGCTAGAGGTGGCCAAAAGATGGTGGGAGGGGAATCAAACCACTACCACTGTTAGCTGATTAATTTTCCCTTTCTCTGAAGTGGAAGATGAAGAGAAAATTAATCGATAAATTCAGGTTTTGTCCTTTCAAATATTTTTTTCAAAGTTCCTGGAGGATAATAATGCATCCAGTTTGAGGAAGTCCAGAAATACACTTGGCTTTAGAATGCTGATTCCTCTTACCCTTCTGGGCTCTGTTAAATCATTTGGCCACAGCACTGAGCATACAGGTAGCATATGTGGGGTTCAGTTTTAGCTCCTCTGCTCACTGTACATTAACTCACTCTTGTGAATTCTCTTTTTCCATACTTTAGGTGGCATTTACTGGTGAGCTTCAGGGCAGGGAACCCAAACCATTTTGTTTTGTGCTGTTCTAATTAGCCTAACACAATCTGACTTTAAAATAACCCCAGACTTCAGGCTTGCATTGTAGGAATTAAATCTCCATATTGAAGCAACTGAAAAAATACAGCAATAAAGAATTATTATTATTTTTTGCATCGTTATTTACTCCCATCCATTCTCCATTTCTAGAGGCTCCTAGACTTAATATATATTACAGTAGCACATAAGGGCCTGTATTCTAATTTGAAGTACACTTTGCTAGAGTCTGCCCATGGTTCTCAAGATCTGTAATCAGTAGCATTCAGATAGCATGTAATACTGTTTTAAGATTTGCAATATTAAGCCAAAAGTTGGGGGTTTTTTCCTCAAGCTGAGAATCTCTACAAAGCATCAGTAAGTATGTGGCATTTAGTTAGGCAGCTAATTTTTCTCTACTTTAAAGTGGGAACTGGAATGTTCTTAAATCTGATTTTGCTTCTTATTGCCCACAGAGACTTAATTCCAGTTTTAGCGATTTTATCATCTAAATCCATTACTAAATTCAGTTTCTGTCTATTCTACACGTTTACAGAACATTATTAAGTAACACAAAGGGTTTGAAACCTGTGAACAGCTAGCCCAGTGGTGACTGCTGTGGACTAAAAGCATACACATCTCATCAAAGTCGGTGACTAGGTGCACTGTCCCTGCTTCAAAGCATTGCTGCTTCTATTGGCCACACTCAGGTGCTGATTGATATTCCTTTGGTTGTCTGAAAGTTACTGTTAGGCATAAAGTTAGAGAATGCAGATCTTCTATTGCAATATGTGGTCGTTGGCACCTCTCACATTCCTCCCAACCGGTCTGTTTCTTCACTTCTTTCTGTGCATGCTGACATGACAAATGGAAGTGGTTGCTCTGTTCCCCCTGCCATCTCACTGTTTTCGTTTGGCCTTCTAATGTAGAAGAGGTTTCAGAGGCACAGCAAGCACAGAAAAGACTAATTTTTGTTTTTATTAATCTCATCATATTTCATTATGATACAATAGATGAAAATCATGTATTTCCAAGGGTAATTTTCCAGGGAGAATGAGACAAGACAAAGAAAGCTTCAAGATTTTTCAAGTCAATTTGGTTCATACATAGACACTTTGAAAAATTCAGTATTTTCCATCTGTGCTTTCTAGGGACACGAGTATATGGTGTCAGTCTGCAGTTAAGAGATTTATTTTTTTTAACAGTTTCACCATCATACTCTTGCAGTGAAAATTCTGCTAAGTTTTCTGTTTGAACTAAAACAGATGGAAGCCATAGATAGTGATGAATTCAAAGGAAACCCATTTTTCTGTTCGAGTGCCAGAGAACAATGCACACGCCAACTGAATTTAAATAGAGTAATTGTGTGCTGTTATTTAAATTGGTTGGTTAAGATTTTTTTTTTTCTCTTTGGAAGTGATTTCAGCTGAAACAGCTATGTTATTAACAGTAAGGCATGAGAAATGTTCCTTACGGACCAAAAATGGGAAGAAGAGATCTGATGCTAGATCAGCCTTTTAGTTCTTCTCTACCCTCTTCTGTTTATTTTGCATTAGTTGGCATTTCTTCAATTTCTGAGCAACTTCTTGGGTTTTTTTCTGCCAACCATGAAACACTAATTTGGATATGTCAGTCTCTCTGTCTTTCCTTTTCACCACAGAAAATCTAATACCTACTAAAGAACCCATCATATTTGCTTGCAGAATGCACAGGATTAAGAATATTATTACTGTTTATTTGTTGTTCTTATTAATATACTTATTAATGTACTTTCTTGTGACTAAAGAGTATTTTGTAACTAGATAATATCTTTATGACAAGTTTTCAAGTAAATATGAGCACACTAAAACAATGCATCTTTTATATCTGATCACAGCAGTAAAATGAAAGTCCCTGGAATTTTAAGCACGTGTTTCAGATTTAGCTGCTTACAATATCTGGAGTATGACTAAGCATCTTGTCTCAGATTTTGCACAATGCAGAACAGACACTCTGTGTACTAGCTCACGGCTTTTAAGTTTTGCATGTCAAGATCCATTTTAGAAGGAAGTGAAATTTCACCACTTTTGCTGTCATGAGCTTGAAAAGACTTTATCTCAAATATGATTCACTGAAAGCTAAGTTTATGCCTGCCAAAAATTGTTTATAGGTGCATAGTTTTGGCTTTGCTTAGGCAAAGTTTAGTCATTACAACAGACGTGATCAAAAGAGGAGTAATTTTTAGCTTTCAGTGGTATTTTCAAGGTCGGCTAATAGGGAGTGTATGTTTGACTTTACTCGGCATTGCAGCAGAAATACTGATCGTATTAAAACTAATCTTAAACCATGCAGATTTCTTGAGATGCTTTTCATAACAAGACCTTAAGTAGTGTTTAAGATTGCCCCATCCATTCCATTTCAATGGAAGATAAACTGAAGTTCAGTTAAGTCATTTTTATAACATTGTTCTGAAATACCTTTTTTTTATTCTTCTAATAGTCGTTAAAACAATTTTGAGAGAAGAATTACAATACTGACAGCCTGAAATAGATGGGTATTGCTGGAATAATACTTCCAGAATACCATTTGTGTACCTGCTTTTTTTTTTGGCCTTCTCCCCCAAATATCAATGTATCTTGATGTCAAGAATCAGGAAAGTCAGTGCATTTGGGCTGAAACAAATTATGGTAAAAACTCAGAAGTGGTGGTTACATTTTGTGTGCAATATCTGTGAGTATTGAGGAGATGGCGATTTAATGGAACTTAGTATCCACAGTTTTAAGCATCTTTCTGGTAAAGGCTGTGGCACTTTGCATATAATTTAAGGTTTGGAAGGTGAGAGTATTGGTACTGTACTTAATTTGCAATTAATTTCTGTATCCTGACCAGCTCTTACATTTCTGCAAGGTCTAGATGTAAGACAGTACTGAACTTGAATTGGCCATAGGGACTACCAAGAAGGAATATTATTTTCTTCTGTTTCTCCATGAGAGGCAAACCAAATTCTTTAGGAAAGTTACACAATGTACTTTTTGTACAGTTATTAATAAATAATAAAAGCCACTGTTGTTTGGCTTATCTGTGGGATAAAATAGCATGGTGCCCTTAGAAATTTGTCTTGCACTTTCATGGGCTTATTTTCCCTTTAAGCTGGTTAAGTTTTTCAGCTGTTAGACATCTTTCTTTTAAAAGCAACCTGCTGGTGCATGCTCAGTGAAGTAAAAGGAAAAGCATTGGTGACTCAGCAACACAGTAGAGAACATTTTCTTTCTTTGCCTATGGAAACTTTTGTTTTCAAACAGAGATTCGTTTTATATTTTGTGTTATGAAGCTCAAAGGTTTAAAGCTATGTGATTTCTTCCTAGAATAATTCAAATGGTGCTCAGAAAAGAGTTTGAGTGTAAACAAAAAAAGCACGGAGGAAAAATTCACTTATCTTAGTCATATAAAAGGCTTTGAAATTGTACATACGGATTGTTTCCTCTTTTCTGTCATAGAAATGTTTTCTGATAAAAGAATGTATTTAAGACTGGTAGACTGACTTGTCTGAATAGATCAGCTATCAAGGGCAACACATTTGGCCTCATTATGACTTACATAATTCATACACAAGCATTGGAAAATGTAGCAGCTATGCTTTCTGTAACTAGGTGTTGTCCAAACAGGGGTTTGTGCTGTTGTCTTAACAACGCTGATTCCAGAAACTTTGCTTTCTCAGACTGCTGTGATACTCAGCCATTCACTGTCACTGGGAAAAGCCTCACTTAGAAGCTTTTTTGCTTCTAGTCAGGAGATCCCTTGGAAAAAAAGGAAAATGGGAAAGGAGTTTGTGATTCTCAGTCTCTTCATGCAACCGTTTAATACTTCCTATAAAAGAATGGGAGGAGCAGACATGAAATCTCAAACTGGTGAATCTATGAGTCAGCAGTGTTTAAAGTAGTCATTGTACTTAAACCCATCCCAAACATTTTAATATATGGAGATTCCTCCAACAGTTAAATAACAGTATAAAGTATGTATTTCTAAAAGTAGATACAGATTCACCTTAAAACGAAAAGGGAGTACACACAAACTACATCTGTGCGTGGAGAAGAAGTTTACAAAAATTTAAATTTCCACTGCTCCTATTAGTAACATGAGATTACAGAAGTGTAGCTAAAACCAAGTTTGTTACTCTTTCCTCATGGTTTGGATTAGCAAGACTTTTAATTGGATTTAGTGGATAAACTGGCCCACCAAAATTTATTTGCAAGCTTTTTATTTTTTTCTGCCCTTACAGAAGAATTCATTGTGAGAAATATACACCAGGCAATTCTGCTAACACTAATTACATTTAGATAAGGCAGAGGGGGCTAAATTTAATGGAACTCTGGTTGCCTCAGAAAT